CATCTCTTATATCAACTCCAAAAAGGTAGTACCTGCACCTTGTCGTTCTTGTAACACTATCACCCCTCGTCAACCTCGTCTTAGGGTTTTCGTATAACCAGGCTGCACACGACCAACCTCCTCATCAATATCCCTTCCCTGAAGATGCAGACCTTCCCCGCCTCTCTGCCAACTTTCCCAAAGATAAATTATGATGCAAAAATCTCTCAGTAGCTCAACATATCTGTAGCCATACTTACTCGTCAAACTGTGCTTTCATTTTTGTTCTTGTCATTGCAGAAGCTTACTCTTTTCTAACTCTCATTTTTAATGAGAAATTCCGATAAGCCCGCTGATAATCACGAATTTCACTACTATTGCAAGGATTGGAAGAGCCTTCCCGACCAAGTATCATAAAATAATGGTTCAAATAACTAGAACTTGACTCGAGAGTAATGCAAGAAGGGAAAGGACACCCATCTCTATCTAGGGTACGACATTGTGTTTTTTACTCGGGAAGCCACTGACTCTGCAGGAAGGATATCACATCTAGATCAACGTAGAAACTTCGATCTTGACCCACTCCGTTCCGAACTAACCAACCATTAAGGGAGCTCATCATCCTACTTTTTTTTTTCTCTCCATTCTTAGGCAACCCGTGCTGAGCAATGAACTTTACGGAACTAATCAATCCGTCGTCATAACTTCCTTCTATCTTATGTTTACTCCGAGAAGCTATTGATTGACTGGGGATGGCTTAGGAGGCGCATGGGAGGTACCCCATGATATTTCCAGTTTCTCTGAAGATTTGAGATGTTTGCAAGATCCCTGCTTGGTCGGTTTTCTAAACTCAACTTTTTGCTTGTTCGTTAATTATTTTTTATTTTCTTTGCTTTAAATAGTCTTTGAATTTTTACCTGCCAGTTTATGATGAACGTCCGTCAGTCTTACCCCTTCTCCTCTTAACCCCTCAGTCATTTATGACTAAGAACTCGCCTTAAGAATACTCTTAGAAGGCGTGAATCCTTGCCCTCTATTGGTTACAAATTAGAAGCCTTCTCAAGCAACTTGCTGTTCAAGGAAGGTCCGCAAGACGGGTTTTATGCCAATATTTAGGCATCGCGGATCAATTTTTCACTTACTCTGGTTACCTAGGCAATTGGCAGACAACAAAATGAAGACATGAATCTGGACAGGCAGGTTGTCTATGATCATTATGAAGCTGAAGGTCGTAGCCTTTATCTTTATCGAACAACGTATTTGGAACAGGAAGGCCGCGAATAATATCCAGGTCCTCTCCCTACCCGACTTGCTGGTCAAACCCGATAGGCAGTTGGGGTACCCCAGATTGGACTATTCTGGTTGTGGTAGTTTGGGAAGGGCTCATTATAGCCAGGCCACTTCCGTCTGTTCCCCAACCTCCAAGAGAAGGGCAACCCCATACTATTTGTTGTTGAAGGTTGTAGCCTTGATCTTTATCGAACAACGTATTTGCAGCAGAAGAGCTGGGAAGAACATCCAGGCCCTCTCCCTGCCTGACTTGCCGGGCAGACCCGGTAGGCAGTTGGGGTACCCAGATTGGACTATTCCGGCTGTGACAGTTTGGGATGGGCTTATTATAGCCAGGCCACTTCTGCCTGTCCCCAGCCTCCAAGAGGAAGGCAACTCCGGACTATTTGTTGCCTCGGCCTTACTGAATCGAGATATTTATCTCTTGGTGGTTTTTCACACTTGCTTTTGGCGGCACTCCGTTCCTGGTACCTGCAACGCAAGATGAACGACTGAGATCTTAATCTACGGTTCATGACTCGCCACATGAAAATCCGGACCCGCTAGCCCGTGCCCTCGGTGCACGGGGGGTACCCTAGGATATTTCTAGTTTCTCTGAAGATTTGAGCTGCTTGCAAGATCCCTGCTTGGTCAGTCTTCTGAGCTCAACTTCTTGCTTGTCAGTTAATTATTATTTGACTTCTTTGTTTTGAATAGTCTCTAAATTTTCATCTGCCAGTTTATGATGAATGTCTGCCAGTCTTACCCTTTCTCCTCTTAACCCCTCTATCATTTCTGACTAAGAACTCGCCTTAAACCACCAGTACCTCGCCCAACTTGAAAAAGTCGACGCGACTGTTAACGCGCCCACGAACGACCGGTATTCCCCCAAAAACGGGCAAAAAAAAAAAAAAAAAAAAAAAAAAAAGA